TACATAGACATACTCTACTCATCCAGGAAGACAGATTCTAAGAATTCTGTGAGACAATTTTATACTACGATTATCCATTTTAAAAATCAGTCAAATATATATTTTTAAATTAAATAAATGTACAAATATATGTATACAATGTTTAATTTTTTAATAAACATCAAATAAAAATTGATCAATATATTTATTTATCATTATCAATAATCAATAAATCCCAAATTTATCGATCAACGTCCCAACCCTGTTCCATCACTATGGTTTGGTACATTCTAAGTTTGACCTTTAAGGTGACACTAGTCGACATTATTTCCATAGAAATTTCGGAGGGGTTTTACTCCGCTGTTTGACAGTGTACATCCAAAATTAAACATGATATCGTTTTGTCTCATTATTAAATTTGTCTGTACGGAAACAGAATAGTAAAATAAAATGTTATTAAAAAGTTACGAGCTACCAAAGATTCGTTTTTATTGCCAATTTTAACACAACTTTGGGCGTAAATTAGTAATAAAAGAAGTGTAAAATTTCCAAAACAAAGTCGGTACCGACACAGGTAAATTATCGAAGAACTCAATAAATTTTATTTGTAATTGATTAATGCAGTGGTTTTTTCATAAAACCCCTTCTTCCAAAGGCCTTTTCGTATTTTTTTACGCGCGCATGTTACTATGAATTATCGTGCATCTCACTGAATAATGTCTCCCCCGGTGCGGTGCGGGAGGACGATGCTTACACACACATGCACAGGCGGTGACGCGCGCTTATAAGTATTCGAGTTTTATTCGAAACGAAAAGTTTTGCTATTTTGTAATTTGGACGCCAAAGACAAAAGACGGCATGGAAATTGATATAATTGAAAGAGATGATGCGTTTTGGACGACAGACAATATTTTAAAATTTTCGTCTGTAATATAATATAATTATAAAAGTAAAAAAAGTAAAGTCTATATTCGATTACTATATAAAATTGCAACAATTTCATTGGTGCCGACGGGGATCGAACCCGGGTTGCTCGCGTAATGTGATACTTACAGCGAGCGCTAACCATCTGAGCTACCACGGCTCTCAATGCAAGTGTTATAAATAAATAAAGAATTACAAAACAGTTTAATTATTTATTAGACGACTTTTGCGGCGGATAAACAAAGTATATTATGTGGGATTTTCATAGGTACCTACTGTTATTACCTAGATACCTACAATCAACAATACAACAAAATGTCACAAAACCTCGCCGCGTCGTGGCCACAAAATTGTAAACTTTAGGTAGGTACGTCGGTACTAAGAAAACAATCTTGATGGGTCACTTGTCTTGATAAAAACCTGTGTTTACGTTTAGTGATATTGAGTATATATAAAAAAATAAGAAGCCAGGTAAGTAAGTATTTTTGAAAACAATTTATAGGTAGGCAGACCAATTACGATTATTATCTAAATATTATAAATGCGAAAGTTGGGATATTTGGATGGACGGATGAATGGATGTATGTTACTCAATCACGCCAGAACGGCTGAAGGGATCTGGATGATATTTTGCTCAGAGATAGGCTATAGTCCGGAATTTTTTTTTCAAAAAAACTTTACCCCACACTAGGATTTTCTCCTGTATCGTGGAGGCAGTTTACAAACATCCAGACCCGGAACAATTATTTGTAGACCATACAAATACTTGTTCGATTGATTCGAACCCGCGGCTCCCAGTACAACAATTCATTGCTAAGCCACTGCGCCACGGAGCTGCCAAATATCATATATGATACCGTTTATTCAGATATTTCGTTGCCGTGGGATAATTATCGAGTTACACACGTTCGAAGCCGAACTCTTGAGTGATTGCTGCATGACCACTCGGGGAAAACTAAACATAATAAAATAAGCAATCTATATTAGGTATATAGAGCCACAGACGTATACCTAATAATTTCGTGGATTCACCCGCGTCATCACGTGTCCGAGATGCGTGGCATGACATGACACCTAGTTCCAGCATTTTATAATTGCAATCAAATATTTTATTTTATTGTAATATATGGAAAAATTGTCATGATTAATGGAGTACTTTTATTTTATCTGTCGGCATATTATGCGCGGTTTTTTCCAGTTTTAAAGAAAAACGTACACGATTCATGAAAAGTGTGTAGGCAAGAAATGATTCTTGATAAATTTGCTATCAACCTCTTATACTTATTAATTAATTAAATTTAAACTTTCAAAATACCATAGCAACGTGAAATTAAAGAGTTCAGAAATAAAGATGTAACTAATCATTGCTACGCTCACCCGGGAGATAGATAAAAGTACTCAATTAATTTTGAATTTATTTTAGCTACTAGCTGTACCCCGCGACTTCGTCCGCGTTTAGTTTAGGGCGTTAATATTGTTGCAAAGACACCTAATAATTTTTCTAAAATTTAAGCAGGCTAAGTTACTTCTTATAACATGAGCTATCTACTAGTGAAAGTCCCGCCCAAGTCGGTCCAGCCGTTTTGGAAATTAACCGCAACAAACAGACTGACAGACATACAAAAATGTTAAAAATTGTGTTAATGTTATAAGTACCGTATACAGTTTCATACGCAATTAGTAAAAAGCTGTTATTTTGACATTATAACAGACACTTCAATTTTATTTATTTGTGTATATATAGATAACGATTGAACTAACGGCTAACCTAACCTCGCTCATAGAAGCTTTCAATACTGGCTTCTCAGTTCGCACCGGGCTAGGGGTTATGCGTTGTTTGCGCGTCAAGCCAAGTAGGTATTGAATTATTTTAATTTTACATTATTTCTTAAACTATGTACTATATAAACATGGTATAAAGAACGAAGTTTATCTTCATAAAATTGTCTTGATAATGAAGTAACTTTGGTTCGTAAGGTGCCTAATAATTAAATTTTCATTTTTTTTGTCACAAAATGCCTAATTGTGGCTTATATATAAGAAATAGACATATGGTATCGCGGACTTTTTTTAGACGGAGTAAAGATCTATATTTTTCTAGAACATTGTATTTACGTATCCCGAACCATAACAGCGCTTTTTCTTCTGACTTCCTATATATAGCCTAATGCTGTATAGCCTATACTATTCAACATGAATCTGGCTATAATATCCAAAAAAAAATTTTTCAAATCGGACTGGTAGTTCCAGAGATTAGCACGACAAACAAAAACCCTCTTCTGCTTTATTATATTAGGTATAGATGTTGCATCGTGTTCGTGTAACTTCGTTTTTATTCTAACGGTTCGGAACACCGTACGAACAAGACATGCGTGAATACTAGTGTCGATATGCTCATCACTGATACTATCTCTGTCGGGCACGATGCCAGGTGAGACAGCGTGCTTTTTGGCCGCGCCCACCAGCGAGTTCGAGCCCGCGACTTGTGCCACCTTAAAATATCCAATCACAGCGCATTTGCCACGTCCCCCGCAACCCTTGCATAGGGCCAAATTTGGTGAACTCGAAACAGAACAAATATTCAACGATGCGGTATCTATTAGGGGGTAATCTGTGGCTTTAATTTACACCTTAATTTTTTACTTAAAACAAAATTTAACGTTTGGCGTGTTGCCAGACATAAAAAAATTACCACAAAGAAAGGCCTATATTTTACAAAATAAAAGTCATTGAAGTGATTTTTCATTTAGATACAGAAAAACATTGTTTTAAATTAAAATGTTTATTAAAATTATCGCATATCATGCATTTTGAATTTACAATATAAAAAGGATCAGAATATTTTTTTTTTCTTCACCATTTGCCTTGATATAATAATAATATATATAATAATTTAATATTACCAGTATGTTTAACTATCATACCTTTATATTTGATATAGTCGTTTTTGAATAGGATTAAAAATAATTAATTATTAAAACGATTACACGGACACGAACTATACTTCGGGGAGTGACTACGAGAATTCGACCGACCACATCTGCAATTATTAAGGATCTCACCGAAGATGCTTAGCGAGTTTTGGACGACGTGATTATATACTTGCTGAGTGTGTGGAAAAATACATCCATATCTCATGATCAGGTCACTGCATACGTAACGTGTTTTATTCTGGACGGAGCGGGACGTCAAGTTTTGGAAATATCGTTCCTTAGGAAATGTACGTGAAAATGCATACATACTGCGCGGACGGGATGGGGACGTGGCGTGAACGAATCGAGAAAAACATCGTACACGTGACCCGTCGACTCCTCAAATAATCGTTGATTTTTTTAAATAGAATAAGGATGACATACGAGCACACAGTCCAACTGATGGTAAGTGAATGCTGTGGCCCATTGACAAATATTAAGAATCCTTATCCTCAATTGAGAAGTAAAATGCAGATGCGTTGTCACCATGAGGACTGAGATGGAATGCCTTGTTACTAGTGAAAGCGATCGCCGGTTCTCTACACTCACCATACGAAACATAATTTTCTCACGAAAGCTGGTATTCTGTGAGAGCGTGGTCCTACCCACCGATCCATTCGTGCTACAACCACAATATAGCTGCAGCGTGGCTCTACCACGTACAGACAGACACCACCACACAGCATCATAATGTGATATAGTGTAAGACAATCCACTACCCCGTTTCGTCCCGCGGGTGTCGTAAGAGGCGACAGAGGGAAACAAACTACAAGATGGGCAGCCGCGTCTTCCTGATTACAAGTGAAAATAATAAAAAACCGCGGTTGCCAACCCACCTGCATGGCAACTATGGCAAATATGACGCAAGCCACGGGGGAAGCCTATGTTCAACAGAGTAGTTTTAAGGGCTGTAACGGAAACAATAAACGTCGAGGCGATAAAAGAAAAACGTAAACTATCATCAAAATAAAAAAAAAACATGAAGGTCTAGTCTGTTTCCACTAACCTCCATTCACACATTCGGTATTTATTTTAAGGTTCCAATATTTTTTGCTTTCTACCGACTACAAAAAGGAGGAGGTACTCAATTCGACTGTATGTTCTATTTTAATAATAATAATAATAATAATAATAAATATTTATTGCCACACAATAATAAGTTTACAAATGAAAAGTTTACAAAGTAAGTATACACATAAAAATGATTAGACTTAAAATTTTTATAAAAAAATGAACATTCACAATTAACAGATTAACTAATATTACTCAGTTTACGATTATAATGTGAGGCAACGGGCACAGGCTCAGTATTCGCTGGGCATTATGCTCAGCACTGTTTTTCAGCCAGTCCCTGCTGTTGTGGGTACATTTTGGTCGCACGCACATCTTATTTAATAATTTTATGTTTATTACGTCTTAACTTATTCTGTATGAACCGATTTCGATAATTCTTTTTTTTTTTATTTGAAAGCAGGTGCTTCACATGTGATCCCATATAAATTTGATCAAGGTCTGTTGGTCATTTGACCAATAGTTTTTGAATTATTCTTAATAGTTTGTATTGAATTCGGTTGTACAATATTTTAAATTAGGTATTGAATTAACTTCTTCAGAATAAATGCAGTTTCAATTTGCACATAAGACACAGAAAGGTTTTATTACATCACAAATTCACAAAAAATAGATTTTTATCTGGTACACACATATTTATATAAAACACGTTTACACAATATTGTACATATTCTACCAGATAGCTCACGAAACAGGTTTCGCTCCAATGTGTGTTGTTAAATGTCTTTGCAAATCTTTTTTTCTAATACATCTATATTCACAGATTTTACAAGAAAAAGGTTTTTCTCCGGTGTGTATTTTCATATGTTTTTGCAAATCACTTTTACTAATACATCTATATTCACAGATATTACACGAAAAAGGTTTTTCACCAGTGTGTATTTTCATATGAGTTAGCAAAGTACTTTTTCTAATACATCTATATTCACAGATATTACACGAAAAAGGTTTTTCTCCAGTATGTATTTTTATATGGGTTTGCAAATCACTTTTTCTAATACATCTATATCCACAGCTATTACACGAAAAAGATTTTTCTCCAGTATGTATTTTTATATGAGTTTGCAAATCACATTTTCTAATACACCTATATTCACAGATATTACACGAAAAAGGTTTTTCACCGGTGTGTATTTTCATATGTTTTTGCAAACGACTTTTTGTAATACATCTATATTCACAGATATTACACGAAAAAAGTTTTTCACCGGTGTGTATTTTCATATGTCTTTGCAAATGACTTTTTCTAATACATCTATATTCACAGATATTACACGAAAAAGGTTTTGCTCCAGTGTGTGTTTTTAAATGTCTTTGCAAATTACATTTTGTAATACATCTATATTCACAGACATTACACGAAAAAGATTTTTCACCGGTGTGTATTTTCATATGTTTTTGCAAACGACATTTTGTAATACATCTATATTCACAGATATTACACGAAAAAGGTTTTTCACCGGTGTGTATTTTCATGTGCATTTGCAACACACTTTTTCTAATACATTTATATTCACAATTATTACAACAGTACATTTGTTTAGCGACGTGCGCTTTAAGATGTGCCAAAATGTTACGTTTTTGAGATGTTTTAAATTCGCAAATATCACAATTAAATATTTCTGTTTGTTGTGGTACTGGAGTTAATTCTACTTGTGTCCGAAATGCAGTGGTGTCTGAGTTCTTTTGCGTCTTATGACTGTATGAAATGTGTTTGGCGAGAATGTCTTTTGTTGAAAATTTTTTACTACAACCATCACGTTCAAAAATGTATTTAGTTGATGTCCCAGATGTCTTTTTCTTAAGTATATTTACACTCTTTTGTTTCAAAATTTTCGTTTTCATAATCTTTGCAGGATGCTTTCCTTTTCTATTAATTGGTTGATTATCTATTTTCACTTTAGGGTTTGATTTAATAGTAGGGCCTTCAAAATCGAGGTTTTCTTTACGAACATCGTTTATGTTACAATCAGTAGAATTTGATTTAATCTTCTTTTCAGAAGTTTCTGAAAAATTATATGTCGTAGTTAAACTTTTTATTTATTGTAAGTCATTGCATCTTTATTACACCTTAAACGGTTTACAATGGGCGGAGTTTATGCCTTATGGCATTCTCTATCGGTTAACCCAGGCAGAAATAGAGAAATTGTAATATTTTAAATAATTATACCAAATAATGTTGCTAGATATAAAGTATTTTAGTCATTTACCCCGAATAATGTCTCTCATATTAATTTTTGAGGGAAATAATGGTTTTTCCGTCCATGTTATAATTACATTAATCTAATAATCGCTGTTTCGAATTCCACACAGGACTAGTTTTATACACACAGTACAATCGAATTTGGCGTAAGTGCGGCATAAATGAATTTATCATCACATTTTATCCCGTGGGTTTCGTAAGAGATGACTACGGGTTTACCAGGAAATCTGATGGCTTCCGACAGATGGCGGTATAACCAGCTCGTTTACTTCAGATGTAAAATATCCAGACCGGCGCCAGGCGACATTGCCAGAGGTGCTCACGTCTGGTTCTGCGATCGTCAGTCCTATGCCAAGCGTGACTCTCAGGGCAAATCCTCCCTACATCGGGAGAGATCCTTCCATGTTCAGCTGTGGAAGTTTACGGGAAGATTAAGATAGAGGAATTATTTGTAGGCCATACAAAGATTCACAACAAGCCCTGGTAGCTCGGGGGCTAGGAGTTTGCCGTAAAATTTTACAATACGCTAGCAACCCAGGCCCAGTCGCCACATACATACATGCCGTTTCCGTCCTATCGATCCTAACAGCTTCGACGGAAACCGTATTGAAGGTCAGTAATCAGCTTATGCTCTTCAAGGTACCGCGTGACGCGTGAGCTGGCAGTTAATAATGGATTCCATTATTTTGGAGAACAAGAAAGTGACGACGATAGGCCTGTATTTGGATAGGTCGCAGTCTTTTTTAGGAATCGCATGCACTACGGCTGCCTTTCATAAGGTTGGAACGACACCTAAGGAGTAAGAGAATATGACATAAACATAAAAATAACAAGAACATAACACAACAACTGCATTATAACTTTGTAATCTATACTAATATAATAAGGTGGAAGGGTTTTTTCATAAGGAACAGTATAGGAATAATATATCATCAGGCTTCACCTCTCAATTAACCTTAAATATTGATTTTTGCTAACCCGTCAAGCGCTAGGCCATATTATTTTTTACGCGCCAAACGTCGGTGCCTGTACGGAAGGTCTCCAAATACTGACAGGCACTAATGTAAAAAACTTAACAATCGAAGCTAGATGCCGCGCAACAATGAAAAGACTTGCATGAAAGTTAAAAAAAACCGCTATTCCACACACATTTATTCCTCTATTGGAAAACAGTGGGGAGAAATATAAATGGAACCGGAACCTTAATGAAAAATCGTATTCCTAAATACGAGGGGTGATCCAAAATGATAATAGGTTATTTCCAGTGCACATGAAAATCCGAAAAAACTTTTGTGCTTGCTTATGTACCCACTAGATCAGAATTTAAAAAAATCATATAAATAAGCTACGATTCCCGAGAGGTACATTCATTTGAATACGAATCATCAAAGAGAACATCAAAATGAAGAAAAATTAAATGAGAGCTCCCTCTGTTTAAAAAAATGTCTACCAAAGACATACACAGCGACTTGGTGAAACATTGAGGGACTCTGCTCCTTCCACAACTGCACGCTGGGCTGAACATCCACGGAAGATGAACGCCCATCCACATCCCTCACTGAAGATAACGTGAAAAAGAGTCGAAGATGTCGTATTGGCAGATCGAAGAGTGATCATCAGGCATATAGCTGAGGTCACAGGTATCTCATATGCCAGTTTCAAAGAATCCTTGCGAACGAAATGCATATGAAAAGGGTCTCTGCACGTTGGGTACCTAGAATGTTAACGGACGAGTAAAAGAAAAAATTTGTCGACATTTTGAGGGTGAATCTCAAAGGTTCCAAGCAGATCAGTTTTTTTTTATTACGTTTCGTGACCATGGTCAAGATGGATCTACCATTTCGATCCTGAAACCAAACAACAATCAACTTTTTGGAACCGAGCCTCCTCCCGACGCCAAAGAAATTCAAAGTGTCAAGTTCAGTGGGAAAGGTTATCGCGTCAGTTTTTGGGGACGCTGAAGGAATAATTATGGTGGAATATTTGGAAAAGGGAGCCATTATTTCGGGCTTATACTCTCGACTACGCAGACCAAATAAGAAGATTGCAGGAGGCTATTAAAGAAAACGACGCGGCAAATTGCGAGCGGGAGTGCTGTTTCACCAAGACAACGCTCCGGCTCACAAAGCCGCAGTTGCAATGGCTGCCAAGAAACAGGATTTGAACTGTTCGAACACCCAACCTATTCGTCAGATCTAGCTCTCAGTGACTTCTATTTATTTCCTCGGCTCAAGGAACACCTTCGAGGCAAGAAATTTGCAGTCGATAGCGAAGTGAATACGCAGTTGAGGCTTTTTTGGAGGGTGCAGATAATTTTTTTTTCTAAGAGCATTCTGGGATTAGAGCAAAAATGGACTAAATGCATTGACTTGTTAGCACTATGTGGAAAAATAAATTATTTTTTAACAATAATCACCGTGTTTAATATTCATTATCAATAATTACTTTTGGATCATCCCTTGTACTCACATCCTAAAAATAACTGAAATCGCAAAGGATGTTAAAAAACGGCAGAGGTGGCTTCGACCGCGTTATAAGGCAAGACAAAAAGATTATTAATAGAATCAGACGTTACATTGCGAAAATCCATTATATTAAACACTAGCTGATAACCACTCGCTTCGCTGGGCGCAAGATATTTTATCGCGGAACCTAGGTGTGACTAAAGTAAATAAGTATTTAAAGAACAAAATTTTGTATGTATAGTACATCTCCAACTACTTGATGCAAGAGAAAGGAGATGAAATTGATTCCATACAAGCTTGAGCCCAGCGTAAACAAACCTAGAATATGTCTTAGTTTGAAGATTTAACATTTGCTACTTAATATATAAAAAAAATATATTTTTGTAGGACTTGGGATTTTGTTTTTATTTTATGTTTTATGATTTGTAAGTTAGGTAGTAAAATCACTCGTTCTTGTGATAAGTTGTTTGAAAAAATTGAAAAGAACAAAAGAATACAGTTTTGTAGTTATTATTAAATACAGTAAAATAACACTCAACCTTTTTTAATTGTTTAACTATTTTCTGCAATTATCAATAAAATGGCATTTGAAAAAACAGCCGGAGGCTGTACATTGTCTGTTCTATTCCTCTCAAAACTTATTACAACATTATTTTCATTATGTGGGCGCAACAAAGTACTGTCCTGTGATCCGAGCGAAAATCCAAGGGTAAAGTTAAATAAATCCACAAAAGTAAAAACACGAAATCTATCCAAAAAAAAAAATAAACAGCTACAATTCCAAATGCGCATGCCGCATGACAAGATGAAACTCGAAGTTAACAAGTTAAGTCTCCTTCGGAATATGCAATGGTGAATGACCATACAGCCTATTCAGTCGTTAATATTCAAATATTTTCATGTTTTATGACATAGCCTATTCAATCGTTTTCTAAATATATTATTTTATTTAATGTTAATCACTACAGATTCATTTCAATGTTTCAATATTATAATTTTCTTTTAATAAGGAAGGCTATTTTATTTTAAAAATAGCCTTTATTATCTATTGCCATAGACAAAATAAAGAAAGATATTTAAAAACTTTTCGTTATTGCTAAAGCAAAAGCATTAGCTTTGTATTTCAGTTTAAAAAAAATGTTTTTATCACTGTCCCAAGCATTACAGAGATAAAAACCATTTATTTTATGCTTATAAGTTATCATTTTATTACCTCCATATTTTTGTATGACTGTTAGAAACGATGTCAAGCACCCAATTTTATACATCTCCTTTGTGGTGATTTATTTTTATTTTTTGATAAAGGTTTTGTTAACATTAATTAATTTACCTATGTCATCGTCATCTTTTTTAATCTTTGAACCAAATGCAATTAGCGGCAAGTCGTACTCCGAATCCGTATGTCTATCTTCAAAAGCATCGATCTCCAAATCTTCTTGTTTTTCAGAATTCTCTAGAATTGTCAGATTCTCACTCAATATATGTATAAAATAATTACTGATATTTTTTTCAAGCGACTCGATTATTACAGTTATCACACAGCTTATGGGCATGAGCCAACCCCTTCATTACCATACTGCATGTTTCATAAACTAAGTGTAATAAGCTGAAGTGGCAATGGGCCGAAGGCATGCGGCTCACCTGATGGTAAGTGACTACCGCCGCGCATGAACAACTGCAACACCAGGGAGGGAATTGCAGATGCGTTGCCGGCCTTTTAAAAAGGAGTACGCTCTTTTCTTGAAGGTCCCTAAGTCGTATCGGTCCGGAAAAATCGCTGATGGTAATCGATTCCACAAGGAAGTCGTGCGAGGAAGAAAACATCTTCTAAATCATACAGTGGTGGACCGCCAATCATCCAGATGGTGTGGATGGTATCGGGAGTTCTGCCGCGATGTGCGTTCGTGAAATTTGGCGGCTGGGATTAATCCGAACAATTCCTCAGAGCACTCCCCATGGTAGATGCGAAAGAAAATGCAAAGGGATGCAACATCTCTTCGCCGAACCTGCGCCTTGTAAAGTTGCAGGCGGTGTGCCGGCATGAAATACTGTCCCGCTCTGCTGAGCACGCCAAACTTTTTAGAGGCCAATTTGGCCTTCTCTTCCAAGTGACCACTAAACTGCACGTCACTCGATATGTCGACTCCGAGGATACCGATACTGGCTGAGGCAAGAAGGGGAGTGCCTTGAAACTGAGGAGATACGACAAAGGGGTTCTTTTTAGCGGTAAACGCGCAAACTTGTGTCTTCTGAGGAATAAACTGGACTAGATTTAGTCGCCCCCAATCCGAGACTTTGTTCAGCAAAGACTCGACTTCAGACACAAGTTTGTTCTGGTACTTGGCGACGTTTTCCCGAGAAATATTGGCACGGCAGGTGTATAGAGCATCACCAGTGCTGTCATCCGCATAGCAATGAATGTTACCAGTTAGCAACATATCATTGATATGCAGAAGAAACAGCGTTGGTGATAGCACACAGCCTTGTGGAACACCAGCGTTAATAGGCTTGTAGTCAGAACATGCACCGTCTACAACGACCTTGATGCTCCGATCTGCAAGGAAGCTGGTGATCCAATTGCACAATTTCTCGGGAAGCCCATAGGAAGGGAGCTTCGAAAGTAGCGCTTTGTGCCAAACCCGATCGAAGGCCTTCGCAATGTCCAGACTAACGGCCAACGCCTCCGCCTTGGACTCTACTGGCCTCCGCCCATCTATGGGTCAGGTAGACTAGAAGATCACCCGCTGATCGACCCCGACGAAAACCGTATTGGCCGTCACTAATCAGCTGGTGATCCTCAAGGTACCGGATGAGCTGGCAGTTAATAATGGATTCCATTATTTTGGAGAACAAGGAGGTGATCGCGATAGGCCTATAGTTGGACGGGTCTGAGCGGTCGCCTTTTTTAGGGATCGGGTGGACAAAAGCTGTCTTCCATGAATTCGGGACTACGCCTTGGGAGTAGGAGTACCGGAAAAGACGCGTTAGGACCGGTGCCAACTCCGGAGCACACGTCCTCAGCACAATTGGGGGGATTCCGTCAGGCCCACTCGACTTCTGGATGTCCAGGGAGAGCAGTGCTTTGCGAACCGAGCGCTGTGAGAACAGCACATCCGGCATGGAGCACTCACACCGCGGGATGGGATGTTAATAAATAAGTTAAAAAAAAATATCTAAGGAAGCTCATTATTTGATAGGAATAACCTAATGCGACAGCGTAGTTGTTCTCATGCAAAACAAAATGTGGTCATTAACTGTAAGAAATTGTAGACAATCCTACCCTAGTGAACTCACTCAAGGTGTAACAGAATAAGTCAATGTCTTCAGCCATTCTATTAAGAATGCGTAACGTTAGAGTTAAAGGCGCCTTGTCGAGTATATTGGTACCCGTCTGGAACACACGGCCTAATCCGCCCCAACCATCATCATTTCATCATCATCATTACAACCTTTCATAAGTCCACTGCTGAACATAGGCCTCCCCCAAGGAATGCCACAAAGCACGGTCCACGTCAAGGTCGTCACTCCATCTCGTGGGGGGTCGCCCTACACTTCGCCTAACGGTACGAGGCTGCCACTCGCGAACCTTTCTTCCCCATCGGTTGTCGGTTCTTCGAGCTTAAGTTTATCACGCAGAGAAACTCCGAGCATAGCCCTCTCCATAGCTCGCTGAGCGACCTTGAGCTTCCTCATACGGCCAGCAGTGAAGGACCACGTCTCAGTTCCGTAAGTCATCACTGGCAACACGCACTGGTTGTACAATTTCGTTTTAAGGTTTTGAGGTATGTCTGACGAGAAGATGTGTCGTAGCTTCCCGAACGCTGCCCAGCCGAGTTGAATCCGTCGATTGACCTCTCGGTCGAAGTTGGACTTACCTAGTCGGACTATTTGTCCCAGGTAAACATAATCGTCAACAACTTCGAGCTTAGTGCTCCCAACAACTACCGGCATAGGTGTGACATGGACATTAAACATGATCTTTGTTTTGTCCATGTTCATCTTAAGACCTATCCGTTGGGAAACACTATTGAGGTCATTGAGCATAGTGCTTAGGCCTTCCAGCGATTCTGCCATAAGGACTATATCGTCGGCAAATCAAAGGTGAGTGATGTACTCTCCATTGATGTTGATACCGTATCCTTTCCAGTCCAGAAGCTTGAAAACGTCTTCCAATGCAGCGGTGAAGAGTTTCGGGGATATGACGTCACCCTGTCTTACACCTCTCTGCAATTGGATAGGTTTCGTACTCTGATTCTGTACTCGGATAGCCATCGTAGCCCTACTGTACAAGCACTTCAACATTTCGATATACCGACAGTCAACTTGGCACCGCTGAAGGGACTGCAGCACCGCCCAAATTTCGACGGAATCAAAGGCTTTCTCATAGTCCACATACGCCAGACATAGTGGCAAATTGTACTCTTCGGACTTCTGTACAACTTGCCGACGGGTATGCATGTGGTCCATAATGCTAAAGCCCTTTCGGGAATCGGCTTGTTCGGGAGGCTGGAAGTCGTCAAGTCTGCGCGCGAGACGATTCGTAATGACTCTCGAAAACAGCACGTAGACGCGACTCAGAAGGGAAATCGGTCTGTAGTTCTTCAAGAGAGCGTTGTCACCTTTCTTGAAGAACAAGACCACCGCTTTTCTATTCCACGCCTCCGGTGTAATGCCGCCATGGAGGACGGAATTAAAGAGCTTTTGAAGGACTTCAAGTACCAGTTTTCCACCCGCTTTCAGAAGCTCCGCTGTAATTCCATCCTCGCCTGCGGCCTCTCCGTTTTTAAGGTGCTGGAGAGCCATTCTAATCTCGCTCAGACTGACGTCCGGGATATCTTCGGAATAGTGTCGGATAAGACTCGCTCTTGGATCGTTACTCACACTTGTGTGTGGCTCCAACGATGACGTGTACAGCTGTCCATAGAACCTCTCAATCTCACTCAAAATCTCAGGTGTCCCGGAAACGATGCTGCCACATGCGGTCTTCAGCTTTGACAGTTTGCTCTTTCTGGTAGACAGATCCCTGGCAAAGACTTTGGAGCCTTGGTTCCGCTCGATTGCTTCTTCAATACAAGCTGTATTGAAGTTGCGTAGGTCCCGTCGCAAGCATTTAGACATCTGTCTGTTCAGTTGTCTGTATGCTGTCAAATCTGTTGAAGAATGAAGCTTCATCTCCCGTCTAATAGCCATGAGATTAAGAGTGTGATCGAAAAGTTTTTGTGTTCTTCTGCGGCGGGTTTTGCAGAACTAAGCTCCGACCGCATGGACAGTTTCCACAAGCTTGTCATCCATATCGTCCACTTCATTGCAGTCTCCTAGGCACTGAAAACGGTTTTGTAACTCGAGCTGAAAGGTTTCGGGATTCGGAACAGAGCACGAGGGGGACGGAGTGTTGACTTCATTAGACGAGACCTCTCCAACTTAACGTTTAGGTTCAGTGTGCCTCTGCCCATTGGGTGATCGCTACCAGTTTTCACCCTCGCGATCACGGAGACATCACTGAACAGTTGTCGTCTGGTCGTCATAATGAAGTCAATCTCATTTTTTGTCGAACCGTCGGGGCTCGACCAGGTCCACTGCCTGTGGGGCCGCTTCTGGAAGAAAGAGTTCATCATAAAGAGTCCCTCTTTCTCCATGAAGTCGGCCAGCTGCTGGTCTCTTGGGTTATGTTGCCCTATTCCAAATTTCCCTACTTTCAGCTCACCGCTCTCTCTTGTGCCTAGTTTTGGATTGAAGTCTCCCATTAACACCGTATATTGGGTTTCGGAGGAATGCATGACTCTAGAGATATTCTCATACATTTCCTCCACCTCCCCATCGGGGTGTGCCGAGGTTGGTGCGTAAACCTGTATGACCTTCAGCAAATACCGTTTGGTGATTCTGAGTATAAGGTACGCAACCATCGTCGACACACTCTCAATCTTTACAACGTTGTTAACGAGAGACTTGTGGACGATAAATCCGACACCTCCTTAGGACAGATGGTCGCCCTCCCGGTGATAGAGCAAGTTGCCGGATTCGAGGATTACCGTGTCCTCCTCCTCTCTTCGGACTTCGGATAATCCTATAATATGCCAGCATAACTTGTCTATCTCTTCTTCCAGCTCCACAATCTTCTCGTCAGTCCTCAGAATGCATGCGTTGTATGTTGCCAGGTCGAGTCGTCTTAGGTGGCAACCGAACCTCCACCAGAGATTCTTAGCACCTCCTGCCCCTCCGTAACCATGGTCACCACCGTAGCCAGGAATAGCGGGGCCGCCGGGGACTGGGGGCCGTCTCTTTGTTACATTCATAGGGGCATATTTGCCATAGTTGCCACGCTTGGCGAGCTGGTTGGCAACTGCAGTTTTTTTATTGTATTTTTGCTGTTATCAGGAAGATGCTGCTGCCCATCTCTTGCCTGTTTCTCTTTGTCGCCTTTTAGGACACCCACGGGAAGACATGGGGTAGTGGATATTCGTAACCACCACTACACAGCAAGCCCCAATATGTCACTATAATATTATTTTGTGTCCATGAGCTACAGTAACCACTTGCCATTAGGTAACTTTTAGCTTATTTTAATAATATCACAAAATGTGCATATCTTACCTGTTTCATGATTCTCATTTTGTTCAAAATTGTAATACTCATTTTCGAAATTCTCTTCCTCAACTTTCACAGATTCAAGGCTAAACATTTCGTTCTTACAATCATGTTCTATATCACACTCTACTGGCCTGATATCTATATGACTAATTGGTGTGAATTGAATCTTATCTCTAGCCTCATGCCATTTTGGTATTGACTGAAACCAAAAAAATATTTTAAATAAGAGAAAAAGCCAGTGTCCACTACACTGGCTTTTTTGCTGTAGGAGAATCCATACTACCATACCATCCCGCTGATGTCGTAAAAAGGGACAGAGGGAAACTGAAACAGGAGATGGCCGCAGCATCTTCCTGACAACAACTGCAAATATTAATAAAATCCAGACAAAAGGAGGGTTCCGAATAAAATTAAATAAAAATGAAGATAGTTCATCCATCCCGAGCATCGAGTCCCAACAATTTTTCGAAACAGATTCGCGAATGCTGTAAATTGACAAAGATCTTTGTTGATTTTTGTTTACTGAGTAATATTACATATAGCTAATATTTCGTTTATATACAATAGAGTATAAAGAGCCGTGATAGCTCAGATGGTTAGCGCTCGATGTAAGCTACGTACGCGAGCAGGAAAACAGAAATTGGAGTTGGGTAACAGCATCTTGGTGATAACGACTCAGACCAATATAAACTGCTGTTGCCAACCTGCCGAGCATGGCAAATGGGGCAAAATCCCTCCTATATGTAGCAATTTATGAGGGGCTTTTATAGGTTTTAATGGATGGAACGGATAATACCATGGACCCTCCTGCAAGCAACTGCTCCAGAACTGCTTTTGACTCAATAGCCTGTTGTTGTAATGTTCTGCAACGAATGAGTCTTGCATGACAGGTGAAACAGACAATAATGGGCTCCTCATCCTCATCCATCTGAAAATATGAAAGCTCATCATAAATATGGAAAACTACTTAAATATACAAGTTTGTAATAAAATCAGTTGGCTACCACAATTCTCTTCATCCTAATCTTACTATTAGAGTACCACCTGATGGTAAGTGAGCCCATACACATCTACAATTAATCCCCAATTAAGAATCAAAATGCAGATAATGCTGTCACCTATGAGGCCCACTACGGAACACCTCACCTAAGTACAAAGTATGTCCAGTTCTCTACACACACCATACACATCAGAGAAGAATTAAACTGCTATTTTACAATGGTATTCTGTTTAGTCCATAGTACCATCCCAGTGCAGCCGACCCACCTGTGACACATAGATATATAGCAGCAGTATGACAATAATAATTTCCTATGGACAGAATTTCAATCACAATAGAGACTATTACAGGGCAGGATTATATTGCATGTGTGTGTAAGCAAGCACATGTGCACATTATTCCCTTCTCAGACTTGTGTCTTTAGGAATACAAGAAATATGAGAGCAAGGGAATTTTTGTGCCTGTAAGCACATGTGCACTCTAATCTCTCACTTTAAGTCTGATAGAACGGTTTTTAGTGAGTGGAAGACCAAACCAGGGTGGATGTTAATTTCTTGACATAATATATACTAGAACAGACACCGCGAAAAATTCTATGCAGCAGTGCAAGTCGTGTGGAAGAAACAGAAATAGCTAAGCCCGCTGGTTCTAACGAGTGTTGCAAACAACTAAGTCTGTAGTAGGATTAGACTAGTATGTAGTAGGATTTAAGGCTAATTGTTGATTTTAAGGTTCTGGTTGCACTATATTTAACGCTGCACCTTAGCCTAGCCCCGATCTATCGCATTTTATATCAGGCAAGGTATAATGTATTTCTCCGGCGATAACAACAAATTACCGCAACTTCAATTTGCAATATTAAGAAATATTAACAAACTTACAAAACTGTTCGTCAATGTTTTGTACAAATTTCGGAGACTAGTCTTCTTTAGTACAAGCATGCTAACATTAACGCATAAACAAATTCTACAAACTTCACTGAAGGCCATTCCTGTTTTCTATAGCTTTAATAAAATTGAATTCACTTTTTCATCAATAAACCTGAGTTTTCAAAAATATCAAAATGCAATACGATTGGCAGTTACTATACAGCACAGAACACTAATACCCTTAGGCGGGCTATACAGTCTTCTACAACTACCACAAACTTATATAGCATAGATAAATATATAATTATGTAGCAAGCTACTATATAGAAAGTAGAAACACTATACACTCTTATCTATGAGAAACACTACGCGTTCAGACGGACGTCTCTGGTACATTTAGTTTGGACCGTAGAGTAGGCGTGTGTATCTCTTTACGGAAAAGACTCACTGATACGAATCACTGAAGTGACACAAAAGATTGGTTCAGTAACAACGTTTCACGGAGAGAATCACAAATTTCGTGTCAAACCTGCTTTCGCAGAGGCGCATATTAGTTCGCTCTGAAGGCAAGCTCACATCACCTAGACCTGCCTGGAAGGGATTACCTCAAGGCTCAGTTCTGAGCCCCTTGTTATACAGCCTTTATACATATGAACTTGATAGATCTGTAAACTACTTAGCTAATGTCCTACAGTATGCTGATGACTTAGTCTTATATGCATCCGACATTTCCTTTGACCAAGCAATCTCCCGTCTATCCCAAGCAGTTAAATTCCTCAACTTTTGGCTTATAGAACATGGTTTGTCCATTTCAGCTAGTAAGAGTAACTCAGTAGTCTCAGTCAGCCTATCCATATTGATGACTCTCTTATACCTTCTCAGACTCAAGTGAAATTTTTAGGAGTATTTCTAGACAGTAAAATGACAGGTATCCCACATTTATCCTATGTAGCTGCTAAATGTGAAAAAAATTTAAATGTCATCCGATCTCTATCAGGCTCCTGGTGGGGCTCCCATCCTTATTCCCAAAAGCTTTTATATAATGCATTAATAAGAAGCCATTTCGACTATGGTTGTTTTTTACTGGAGCCATGTAGTAAAATGGCACTTAACATACTGGACAAAATCCAGTCAAAATGTCTCCGAATCATAACAGGAGCAATGAAATCTACTCCTATCCTCGCTCTCCAAGTGGAATGTGTCGAGCCTGCTCTTTTTCTCCGAAGACAGTATTTATCAGACAGATTTTTATTTAAAGCTACCTGTTATTCGCACCATCCTCTCCTATCCAAACTACATTCCCTTAACCAGTTAGTCAAGCGATCCCAATATTGGTCACATAAGGATTTGCCATGCATTATAAAAAGCTATTCCAAACTTGTCAATCTTCCTTCTCCAATCTCCAAGTCACTTAGGAACCCTCTCTACAATAGTCCCTATGAGGCTCTAATATATAAGCCAGACATATTTTTAAATATTGGCATTTATAAGGACAGCACTGAACCAAATATTAAATTAAACATGATTCTAGCTGAAAAGTGGGTTGACTGGGTGATTATGTTCACAGATGCCTCAAAGGTCGGCGAAAAAGGTTTAGTAGGATCCGCAGTGTGGATACCTAAATATAAAATTATTTTAAATTTTAATTCCCCTTCTGACTCTTCTGTATTCACAGGTGAGTCATTGGCTATATTAGAGGCAGTTTTGTATGCTGAATCTCACAGCCTGAAAAAACTCTCATATTATCAGATTCCATTAGCTGCTTACAAAGTATTGCTTCCAGCCCATTTCAATTAAAAGTAAAATACCCATTAATTTTAATTATCAGAGAGTCTCTATTCAAATGTCATAAAAAGGGACTAAGGATTGTCTTGGCGTGGATACCTGCTCACTGTGGGATTCAGGGCAACGAGTTTGCTGATCGGATAGCTAAGGAAGCAGCTAAATCTGGATTACTACCCAAACACAATATTTACTCATATGACCTCCTGTCGAAGGCTAACTTAAGTTTACACTCCTCATGGCAAACCATTTGGCATCAGTCAAAACTTATAAAATGTAAAAATTATGCTAATGTCCAAAATAATATCCCCCTAAAACCTTGGTTCTTTAAAACCCGTCACTTTAGTAAAGTGATTACCTCAACTGTTTGCCGTCTCCGATTCGGTCACACCTGCACACCTGTACACCTAGCTAAATTAAGGATTAGGGATACGTCAATCTGTGAATGTGGGTTAGGCGAAGGAACAGTTAACCACCTGTTTTTTGAGTGCCCCAAGGTCTCCTTCTCCTTTTATGATATACTCCCTAACTACATCCCTCGTCCTACTAATTTCTCATACTTACTGTCCCTTGTGTTTACTCCCTTTGTAAATATTTTGTGTGATTATATTAGAACTAATAAAATTAAGTTGTAAGATTACTAACATGGTGATGGTTATAAACTTGTGGCGTCTTTTGTTGTAGATTGTGAAGACCTACACAAACAATAATAACTTGTAACTATTGTAAACACTCTCTTGTCACTCCCATGACTGACTTGACATTGGCAGAATTCTAAAAAGAGGGGCCATAAAACTAAGAAAGAAGAAGAAGAACAACGTTTCAAATGTATCATTTGTATCTGGAACAGTGAAACATTACTTTGCTCTTTGCTCATTTCGCCCGACGCGTCGCTTGTGAGGCGACTGAGCTACGAGCGAGAGAGACAGACTGAGACAATGATTAACTTAACTATTGACTCACGAGTGGCGAGTGAGCGGGTGAAATAATTATAATCCACACAAGTCAGATAGAGATAACACATAAGAAGTGTATCACTCAACTCGTACGGATTTTCGCTGACGTTATTCATACACGTAAAAATTACCACTAAGGCGCTTATGTGTCAAATACTATACGGTCGTTTTTTGTATGTAACGTTTGCATTAACAAGTTGTCATTTTACGTTGATGCGGCACTTGTCAAATTGTTTATATTCATTAGCGCCTATTTACGAAAACATACTGAGTTATGTTTAGGATTTCTTTGCGTAGTGATTATTGTGACCACATTATTATTGTGACTTAAACGTAGTGATTATATTCTCTTTGATTGTGACTTTACTTTCTTACGCCCGCGACGCAACTTAATGTACCTATTCGGAACATTCTTTCTTTTATATCTTTTGAGTCGATGATCCAAATGAGCCAAATGAAACATATCAGTGTTTCGGAACATTTCAGTGATTAAGATGCAAATGTTCCAATCGGAAAAATGATACACTTTGCCCACCTCCACCGTAGAGCAAATCAGAACATGACATTTCGTTTTTTTTATATGAATTGGATATAGGCAAAGGAATAATTTTATTTCAGCCTAGTATAATATATACATATGTATATATATATAGGTACATACCTATATAATATTTTTATATATATAATTTTAAATACTATTTTATTATTATTTTATTATGAAGAAGGAGGATTCGTAGAAATAAAATGCATTGTATATATGCATTGTATATAATATTTATTATATGATTTATTTTTTTAACTTTTGTAAACTCGTTTAAGACTTTTTTTTGCATTGGTGGAAATGTACACTTTTCGATTTTAATGATGTCCGTGCCTTTCAGAATCCCATTTGTGGTATATGCTATAGAGTAAACATATAATTGCTCCCTTGCTGCTTGCACTTTAATATTTTCAGTGGAAAGGTTCTCTTCAATACATTCGATATCCAGTGTATTGAGCTGGAAAAAGGAATATTTAAATATGTAAATTACAAGTTTGAATATCTGCGCTAATTGTAATTGTTGTTGTTTATAAATGTTTGCATAGAAAATGTCAAGACAAGAAGAGGCCATTGTAATCAGATAAAGTTACTTTCACATAAATCTAAGAAGCTTTCACAATTATACAGAAATTTCCAATAATTTTTGAACATAATTTTCATTGATACCTAAGATAATTAAGTACATTGATTTTTGATAGAAGGTTGGGAGGATAAAAGTATTTGTAAAGTAGCCAATTATCTATTGGAGTCTATATTAATGTTCTACTGCGAGGCACAGACTCTATGTCATTTCTCAGAGGGGTATGAAACAATGAGTTGGACAAGGTGCTTTTTAAAAAAAAAAAAACGTTACCCCCACACTAGGATTTTCTCCTGTATTGTGGAGGCAGTTTACAAACATATATTGCACAAGGACAAACATCCAGACCCGGAACAATTATATGTAGGCCGTACAAATACACGTTCCGTGCGGGATTCCAACCCGCGGCCCCAAGCGTTGCAACTCATTGCTAAGCCACTACGCCACGGAGCTGGTGACCACATTTTTAAAATATTTTTATTCCTTAGACACACAGATTTCGTCACAATATTCCAGAACATGATAAATTTGCACTTAAAATTGGAATTAATATTAATTCATTTATTTCAGTGGTGTAGACAGAGATCAGATTTGCTCAAAAATATAAACATATTACTAATCCTAACAAAAATATTATCTGAACTAAAGTTTTAGAATGGCGATTGTTTTGCAATTTAAATTTTACATGATTATTACCTTAATTTTTTTACTTCGTTGGGAATCACATGTTCATCATTTAGTTTATCTAATAAGCGCAATTGAGTATGCTTGCAGTCTGTTTAGTACACATCATGTTGCCATTTTAATATATTTCCATCAATTATTATGTGTTTTGATAGCAAAATTATTCCTCATACCTTTTCTATAATGGCTGATCAAATATCACACTAAGTTTATTTGAACTGTATCATCTGAAATAAAAACATAAAAGATTGTCTGTCATTGTCATTCAGACAGCCTTGATTTTGTAATTATTAGACTAGAGGTGTGCGATTGTGCATAAAATAATGTTGACAATTAAGTATTTAAATAATATAATTCCTCATTTAATTCAGCCATCAACTTAAAATTTTAATAAATTATTATAAAAATAATTTATTATTATGTTTCATTCATCATTCATTCATTGCAGACTATCATAATACTACTAGTAAACATAGGCCTTCATAAGTTATGGTATAAGGTGTTACATTTTCCATAGTTGTAACAGTTGGGGTACGACTTTCCATTGACGTCAGTGGAGTTTGGTGATGATACGTATGTTTACAGAAAGATTACACTATTATAAGCACACACACAAAGTCTCAATATACGGAAACGCGTAATTTTTGAGAAAAGAATAATTGAAAATATATTATTTTTGCAATGTTTATG